CTATGTCCCTTTCTCTCTCTCTATGTCCCTTTCTCTCTCTCTATGTCCCTTTCTCTCTCTATCTGTCTCTTTATCTCTCTCTTTCTGTCTCTTTATCTCTCTCTTTCTGTCTCTTTATCTCTCTCTTTCTCTCTCACACTCACATACACAAATATATGAAAATCGCTGTTTATTACGACATTTTCCTCCGAATACAAACCAAATGATCAAGAGAAATTACATGAAGTTTTAAAATTAATATTAACTAATTTATAAAAAGATTCAACAAAATTCTCGAAATACAATAATTCTTAAATCACAGTTCGCCATTTCCTCCGAGGTAAGATGGCTTTTTCTGAACATAATTCCGCCTGCAGTGAATAGTGAGGTCTCTCTCAAGTGTGACATCCTGAGTTGCTCACCTTGGCATAGGAGCGGCTGGCGGTGAGATAAGCCCACAACACAGCGGTCGTCTGCAGCAGCCGCACGACGCACCGAGCCATGTTGCTTTCGCGCCGCTACGAGCACGGCCGCACCTGCAAGGAGAAGTGCTGCAAGCGCTGCACAATACAACTAAACTCATGAAAATTGCAGGCCAATTGCCATATTTTCTTTTACCTGATTTTAAATAGTGTTTGTAACATGGTTGTTTCACTGAGTATTAAACACATAAAAGTAAGGAATTAAATAAAGACTTATTTCGAGCATTTACTATTACGAAACTGTTTTGTTATGTGTCTACTTAAAAAAGTCCAAGGGAGAATGTGGTTGTCAGACTTGAGTCAATCAGCGAATGCCTATCCACGGGTCAATGTTTACATCCACGTCATTATGTCATTCGATGAAGAATAAACACCCAGAAGGTAATAAGAGATCCACAAGTGCACAAAACTAGCATATGTATTATAATAGCACTGTTTGTTTTTAATTTCACGATTCCGAATTGATCTGTACACAACATAAATATAATAGGCCCCAGTGACGCAAAGACAAGAGCGATTCTCACCTTATACACGCTTGTGTAGTGTATTAGCTGCGGTAGTCCTTGCTGGAATAACTTTAAGGTGGCATCCCATTAGCACACATACATCTCTGCATAAAATGCGGCAAACCCACAATGAAATTAAACGACTTTCACGTATTTGTTTTACACTGCACGTTCTCGTCATAAAACACTACGCAACAACCTCCGATTATTGACTATCACTTCTTGTACGAAGGCGACTCGGCAAACACCGACCATCTACCTGCACAGATGCATCCCAACTGGACCCCGCTTACTGCTTCCCGCGCCGCCGTTGAGCTTTTGACTAAACGCCAATTCCGTCTTCCACGAACAGCCTTCTTCTCTTCGGCCGTGAGGCTGCGCAGCAACTGGACGGGAAATGCTACGTGCGAGGTCATTCTCCGAAATGTGTTTGCTCGCACGACAAAGGCCAGCATATTTAGACTTTTAAAATTAGGCCTACAATTTCATATCTTAGAATTTCTTTGCCGCATACAATCCACACAAATACAATGTTAATTCATTAATTGTTCAATATTACTGGTTCATACAAGAAATATTACGAGTTATACATACTCATTACGAGTTATACATACTCATTACGAGTTATACATACTCATTACGAGTTATACATACTCGTAATTTTTTCCTTTAGTTTTACTATAAAAAAGTATTTCTGAGCTACACAGTGTATGGCTCAGAAACATGGAAATTAAGGTAAAGAGAAAGAAACAAGTAATGAGTTTACAATTTTTCTCGAAAAAAGGTTGTGGCGTAATGAAAATGGAACATATTAGATATGAAGAAATTATTAAAATTCTAAAATAAATTATAGATGAATTGGAATCACGAAGGATGAAATGGTTCGGTCACGTGAAATGGCTTGAAGATGGTCCAGAAAGATCTGTGAGTGGTTTCCATTAGACAGAAGGGAAAGAGACACTGCGAGATGAATGACAGAATCAGGTATTTAAAGATATGCAAAGAAGATGTCTAGAAGAGAATGAGTGGAATGATAGAAGGGCGTGGTGATTAAGATGCGAGAGAACTATTTGTGTGATTCACGAAAAAGGTTTAAGAAAACTTCGAATCGAATAGAAACCAGAATCTATATTGTGAGTTTCTTTGTTAAATCGCCCAGGTCCATACATTCTTCTGTGAACGAGAATGTTTGTGCAAAATTTGATCATTGTAATGTTATATGTATATCATTTCATGTGCCGCGTCAACCTCAAATCCCAGATTTTAATTTGCATATTCTGTTCTTTTTACTGCCAGAGGCCGTGGCAGGATGGTTATTTATTGATATTGGGTAGTTCTTATGTAAATGATCTTGGCTCTCCGGGTTCGAGTTCTTATGTAGTCCTGCTCTAAGTAGGCTGTTCGGCTGTCGTGTACTTATGTAGCAGCTCTTTGACTTATGCGGCAAAAAGGGGCAATTTTTAAATATACTAATCTAATGTAGTGCAGTAGTTGGCGCTTTGGCCTGCAACCTACGATTTTTTACAAATAATTATAATTTTCTCAGCGCTGTACTGTTCATGTTTCCCTGTTCTTTGTGATCGGTTTTTTTATTCATACACACACTAACTCTAATTTGAGACTTTTATAATTATTTACAACGTAGTCATATCACGCGCACTTCATACTAATCATACTTCAATTTTTTTAACGTGGCTCTTGACGTTGACTGTTTCATCCAGTCAGGAGCTTAAACGTCACCACAATAACGCCACCAACATGACGTTGAAAATTCCCGATTGAATGAAACGGTAACAGCTGATTTACGTCACGCGCCACGTAAAAAATCGAAGTATAGA